AAAACATTTTAGAGAGGACATGGAAATAAGACATTTCCCTGAAATCTGAGTCACTGCACAGCATGGAGCACAGACATGGCAAGTCCTGGCTGTGACACCGAATGGCTTTGTAAAGTTCTGTGCTACATGAGTTTTAGGAGAAGCCTCCAAGGATCACTCTCACCCAAAATAAATTATGGGAAGGATTCTTGCTTAGAGCTGCTGTCTAGAAAGTGAGAACAGCCAGCCTGTAAAATTAGGAAGCCGGTAACAGTAATTATTTCCCTGGAAGAGAGAAGGAGTTTTGAAAGGTATTGTATACCACAAAGCACTCATTCTGAAAACTGAGACAGATTTCTGTTTCTAATTGGTTAATTATATGTAATTTCAGTAGGTACGGATGTTCCATTTTCTGGAACCGATCTTTTTTCTGTCAAGTGCTAATGGAGGTTAGAAGAAAAATATATTAAGCTAGCTGCTATGTAAAAAACTAAGCAGACTCTTCAAAGACTGGGAGTGCTGCAGGATACCTCTAATTACAGGTCACTGACAACCAGTGACTGAGAGTGCTTACGTTCATGTTTTTCAGACTTTTCTAGTGTTCTCTTAGGAGGATATATAAATGGTAAAAAACATTAGATTTTGGGAAAAAAAAAAAAAAAGGGAGGAGAAGCATTAAGTACAGTTAACCTATCTTGTATGCATCCCGTCACTTTCAGACAATCGATGTAGAAAAATTGGGCAGTAAGTAGGACAGTAAAAAAGACAAGTCGCACAGCTGGCGGATGGAAATGGCAATGATGGGAGATTCCGTGGTCCCTGTGAGCCTGATGTTGCATTCACTCCCAGCACCATGTCTTTTCTAGCTCGATTTTTTCAACGATTATTCTCTGGCTAAACTTTTCTGCAGAGATGTGTGCCAGCAATACCATCTGCTGGCTAAGCCTGGCAAAGGCAGCAGAGCTGGCAGAGCCCAAGGCAGCAGCCAGGTCCCTGCCCCTTGCCTTCCTTCCCCAGGAGGGCTCCTGAGCCTGGGGCAGCATTTGGGGAAGGAGCTGCTGTGGCAGGGTGAGACAGCAGAGCCCGATTTCAGTCTTCCGAGCCAGAAATGTGTCCAGTTACTCCTATCCCATATGTCTCTCAATGTTCTGTCTTTCAGTCCTGGTTCGTTGGGTTTTGGAGATTTTTCTTTGTCATGCTTAAAAGAAATGCTTTGTCTGTTCATTTCTCAGCTGTCCAGGCACAAGCAATAACAGACAAAAAGTCCAGACTGTGCACAGGGATTGGGCACAACCCTTTTTTCATATCTAGGAAAAAGAAGAGCTCTCTGTTCTATGTCCTTTGTTGGAGCTTTGCACGTAGCAGTCCCCCTTTAATACAGGATAGGCATTCAAAACAACTACAATAAATTTTATGGAATGAGATAACTAAAAGTAGAGAGCATATGCAAAATGACTTCAAGAACTGAGCTCAGGGTTTTTTCACTAGGTATTTCTTTTGGACTAAGATATCTGACTACAAGAGTCAAGAACTGACAAATATCTCAAAGCCAGTAAAGAACATTCTGGGAAAGAAGACAGAAACATTATGTAGCTCTGGGCTTCTCATTTTTTTGGGTTTTTCTGGGGTTTTTTTTTGGGGGGGTGTTGGTTTTTTTAAGGGGATGTGTGTTTTACAGAGAAAATCACAGTGTTTTGGTCACCCAGGTCTCTGTCCATGGAATGGTTAAAGAGGCTGGGAGTCCAGTCTGGGAAAAAGAGAATCAAAGAGGGAGTGATGAGAGAGGTAACTATCGAGGGAGTAATGAGGAGAGATTAAGAAACAATTCTTCATTTTCTTGGTAAAAATAACTGGAAACTCTGGTAGAACAAAAAGGGAGGGAATTAGGCATACAAAAGATATGTAGTGGGTGCATAGATCTCTTGCCATGCTCATGGATGTTATGGGTGCTGAGAATTTGCATGGCTACCCAGATGTCCAAGCCCTGAGGGCACCACCAGCACTCACTGCCCCATGGCAGCCCCCTGGGGCTCCCCCTGCCCCTGTCCCATGACCCCATGTCAGTCACCCATGGCTCCAGTCCCTGCTCAGGGATCTCTAATCCTAGCTTGGTTTTAGGCTCTTACATACCGAGGCACAGTGAGAGAATATTAGTGAACTAAAGTCATACAGTCTTGCTGGATAAATTGGGAGAGGAAGGCTTAGATTCACTGAAAACAAGGAGGATATATCTCCAAAGCAGCAGGGAGAGCAAATATAGAGAAATAATTTATTTCATTCTCGAGGGAATCTGAACTTGCTTCAATCACCTCTAATGAATACGTCCCAGTAGCCCTACCGGTAGATAATATTTTTCATGTGTTTTCTTCTGTTCCTGCAAGAAAAATGAGCAAATTCCTTGACTTGGATTGAATTGTTTGGGGTTGGATTTGTTTGTTTTCTAGTCTGAGAAATAATAAATGCAATTATAGTTTGAAAAAGAGAAAAAGCTACCTCTTAACTTTTGCTCTGTGAGGGAAACGTTTTGTTTAGGGTTGTTTGGCTGACTGAAAAAATGACTGGGAGCTGTGGACAAAACCACCCCCTTCTAGTGGTCAGTGAACAAAGAGACTGAGCTGGTACTTCCAGAACCTAAGCAGTGATCCATCTTTTCTATGGGACAAGTGAATGGAAATAATTGCAGTGAAGCTGGGACAGGCTCATACCTTGTGCTCACCATTACAATTATCTGAGGAGCAGAAATGCACTGGTCACCTATTCTGAACTAACAGGTATCAGTGGAGTTATTTCAGAAAGGGATGTCCATAGTCCTCATTGAAGAGACTTTGAGAAACAGAGGTTCTGCCAACCAATTTGTAGGAAAAAATACATACAAAGAGTTGGAAGGAACAAAGACTTTGTTGGTCTCAGTTACCATGCTCAGCCAGAAGGTGAAAAAGCTGAATAAAGTGCAGGGGTGATGCTCCTTCAGAGAGGCCTGGGGAGAGCAAGGCAGCTGCCAGGAGCTTTGTCCCACTCAGAAATTCCCAGAAACACCAACTCTTCCTGTTTTGGTATTATTTAATCAGAGAGGGAAAAAATGCAACTTCCTTTCCTCAAAATAAGGTAATAAAAAGTGCAGCCCCGATGACAATGAGACAACCCTATACTTGTACTATTCATGATATCTTTCCATGGTCTGTATGAACCTCTGTGATTCAGAGTCAGTGCTTTCATGAGACAAAGAGCTGCTACTGCTGCATTTTACAAACCACAGAAAGAAAAGCTCCAGGGATTTCAAAAGCCATAGACTCGGCAGACTCCACAGTTTAATTTGTGAAGTGAAACAGCTGACAGATTACAAACTCAATTTTACTTCACAGTCACTAAAGCCATGAATCTAGTGCTGTGTCACTAGAATCAGTGGAGATTAATGAGTTTCAAGACCTTTAAAAGTGCAAAGAGAAGTAGTTCAGAAATGAAAGGCTTCACCTGGCACAGAAGAGACAAGACCTTGTTGCACGGTGACATGAGCCAGGTATTCTCCAGCACTGAGGCAGGGATAGAGTAAGGGTTACTGTGTTGAATGATGCAAGAATTTGAAACATTTCTCTTCCCAGCAATAGTTCACTGCTGTCATTTTAAAGAAAAGTGGACTCCCCAAGGTTTCTTAGAGAGCAGTTTTGCATCAAATATTGCCTGGTGCATGAAAGTGAGTATCCCTTGGAGCAGTGAGCTGAGCAATGTGTCAAGGAAGGACAAATAATTGCTCAATATACATGGAAATAACTCCTGAGAATTTTTATCCAAAGTCAGCGGGATTCAGGCTGGAAGTGCAGAGCAAGGCAGACTCCATTTTGACAAATACAGTGTATTTGTTAAGCAAGAAAAAGTGGATTCAGGAGCATCAAGTCTTAGACCCATGATTCTCAAGAACAGCAGTATGATGGGAATTGAGCATATCCCATATTAGGCATAAAAGTACTCTCTTTTTCACCACTAACCTACTATTTTTAAGCCAGTCTGTCCTGTTTGGTTAAGCTAGTAAAGTAAAACTTATTTCCTTCTTAGTCATCTTGAAAAGAATTCATGTCAGTGGACAGGCAAGAGGACATTCCCTGAATATGCTGCATGTTACGTTTACTAGATTTGCATGTCTGTTGTTTCCAGTTAAGAGAAAATATAAAACAACAAGAAATTTACAGAACAGCTGTAGACCTTTGGACAAAACTGCAGAAAGAAGAGCTGTGTCCTGGGACATGGCTGATCCCACCTAGCAACTGTGAAAATGTATTGCACCAGACATATTTTAATAAAAAAAAAATTGTTGTCTTGCTTAAATCTATTGTTTTCTTTTGCTGAGGTGTTTTTAGTTCCACAGTTTCCAAAGGCAGCTCTCTATTCATCAGAAAAAACATCTTGTAAAGCAATTTGCTGGCACTGCCCTCACTCTTTGAGCTGGTCTTTGTGGGCAGAGATTCCCAGAGATGTATCCAATGGAGAGGGAATGACTTTCCTCCCACACCTCCCCAGCCCAACCACGTACCCAAGGGCACTGACAGACACCTGCTGGACTTCTGACCACACAGGGACCTCCACCCTCTCACTTTTAGTAAAGGGTTCCTGCTGTGTACAAACACACAACAGCACCACAACATTGCACTTGCCTTTTGCTTAGTTGGCAGGAGTAAGAAACTTATGCAAATCAGTTAAAAAACCAAAATAATTAAAAAAAAAAATCCCAAACCCAAGCTGAACACAGTGACCATCTAAAATAACATCTTTTCCTGCTTTGTGGAAGCTCTATCTCCTTTTCAATAACCCTCAAGTGAGCAAAAAAGGAATTTCAGGAGTCGAGCTCTACATTGAAACATCAACAAAAGGCAAGATTTGCACAGTATTTGCATTTTAGTCTCGTCTTTACTATATTCTGTTCACTACCTGCCTTCAGGTGGGATTGCAAGAAATTAGAATTCAAAACTCCATAATATCAGTCAATCCACAAAATTAGGGCTACGATTTAAAAACTGAATGAAAACAAATTTTTAAGCAAAAGAGTATGAACTATTTATTTCTGAGAAAATATCCTACAAAATTGTGTGGCTTAAGTAGCATTAAACCATTAACATAAAAATAGGAAAAAATGTGATTAAATGTGATTAAATATATTCATGATTATCATTTAAGTCCTGCATTACATTTTGAATGGTTTCAATATAGAAAAAATCCAAACCTCACCTATAGTGAGCTTATTCAGTTTGCATCTTGTACTTTTACAGTTTATAACTGTATATGAGTTGCATAAAGCTGTAAATCACCAGTGTTGGCCACAAATTTTATGAAAATAAATAAGTAAACACACTGAGATGATACAAGCTGAGCATACAGAATTTATCCTAATTCCACTTGGGCAGAGAAATTCAAGCAAACAGAGTCATACCATGAAATTTTTATAAGAAAAGCAAACTAGAAGCAACACCCTCACCTGGTTCTCAGAGCAATTTTCACCTGGTATTATAATTACTCCTATAAATCCATTGGCTGAAGTTACAAAATAAGATGCCTAAAGATGAAAGTAAAACTAGTACCTACAAAAATGTTTCTTCATCATCTAGAATATAATGAGATGGATCTCCAGTGTTCCACTGTGTTACCAAAGCACACTTTATTGTCCAAAAATTAAGCACCAGGTTCCTTGTTCATTCCCTGCCTGTTCAATGCAGATTGAGCTTTACTAAGACAGTGATTTTAGAAGAATATAACTTTCCCATCCCAGATACCTGCTTTTATTTAACCTCTGTGAAGACAGACGTCTATTTTTCTTCCTAGGCATGAGGAAAACCATATATAGAAGGCCATCTTAAACCAGCCAGTTGATTTTTACATGGCTTAAATATGTGTGATGAATAGGGTCAGATAAGTGACACATTCTCAAGTGTCTCTATCACCAGAGGAGTTAGAGACCTAACTGTGTTTGTCATTTTGTACCCATTTGTAGTACAATTGAGTGCTCCACAAACTCAACAGAACTGTTCTGTGTTTGGTCAACAGAAAGAATCAAACCATCACACTCCTATAGCCAGCAGACAGGTTGTGCAGACAAGGATTTGAATTGTGATTTACAGCAGCATCCAGGTAGCATTTGACCTCTCCTCTCTGAACTTCCACCTGCACAAGGCAGGCTGGCACTGCTCACACTGGCACACTGGTGAGCACCAAAATCAGCTTTCATATATTAGAAGGCTGCCAGTCTCTCCACTTCTGAGGACTCTATCTCTCATTGCTGGTGTTAGTGATGTCAGCAGTTTTTGCACTCCCAGCCCACTCTTTCAGAGTCTCCACAGCGAAGTGAAAAAGGATCTCCAGAAGCACCGAAGTTTGTGGCTGCCCCTTCAGCTCAGGGGTGCCATGGAAGCCCCTCAGGGTGCTGGGCATGCTGCTGCTCCCAGGTGAGGCAGATGCACTTTGGTTTAGAACTCAGAAGGAAACAGGGCGAGGGAAGAAGAACTGGAATCTCAGCATTCTTGCTCCCACATCTGTCAGGCAGCTGATATCCCCAGGGGAGCACCCAAATGAGCAGAGAGTGGTCACAACTGCACTTCGGTCTGTGGCAGCAGGACCCATTTCTGAAACGGAAAGAAAAATGCCCAGTGTTAATGTTTAGCTGGAAATAATTGTTCTTATGACCTCAGTGGAATAAGAACTACATACATCATACATTGAGTCCACTGCTCACAACTGAGCAGGGGGCAGTAATTGCCCAGTGTTTTTAAATTTGGAATGGACTTCATTGTTCTTTTTATGACCACACATTAGAGACATTATTATTACCACTCCCATGGAAAATGCTATGAATGAGGTAGCAACTCTCTCAGAAAAAAATATTATCTCACTCTTAATATTTTCTTGGGTGGAGAGGGGCTGAAGAAGCTGTTGTGTTTCTGATATATGCTGAAAAATGCTTAGGAAATATCACCTAATTTTCAGGGCAGAAAAGGGAAGCACTCAATGCCTGCTACTGATAGCCTGTTGTCCCGTGTCCTTGAAAATTAACATGCTACAAGGAGAAAATGCATAGTTCTGAAGTGTAGGTCTTCTATGTCTCAGAGTATCAGGAGTAATTGCCTATAATGGATGGTTAAAAATTTTGCCCCACTATTATTGCACTGTATGGAGCTGCCACCAGCAGAGACCTATTTGCTGTCATGGCAGAAACCCTTGTTTCAGATGCTGGCCTAAGTGCAAATGATTGTTGGTTGGTGCTTATTTGTCTGCAGTGTGATACCCTTAGAAAATAAATAACTTCTGCCAGAGGGCGTTCCTTACTTGGCAAGTGGGTTCACTTGGGTTCCCTCCCCTTCCTCGTGGTGGCGTGGGCACAGCCCTCACAGATGACAGCATGTGAGCACTGCTTACAGAGAAAGCTCTCTGCAGCTCTCCTGGTGTGCATAATGTTTACATGAGATGCTGTTACTGCTGGGCTGGGATGTGTGTTTTCTTTGTAAGGGGTTGTCAACCACAAGACCTCTGAAATTTTGCCAGAGAATCAGGAGATCTATTTAAAAATGTTACGCTGATTTTCTGTGCTTTCAAGGGAGCTCTCACATCACATTTCCAAGCTTCACCATGCAACCATGCAGGATTGTTTCTTACCCAATGGATTTGGTGGGGCTGATGGCATTGAGGACTGAGTGAGTTGGTCATTCCTGTGCTTCTTTGACCCGGGCTTTACGGGAGACCAAAAATTGCCATAAATTATCATTGTAAACACTGGCAACACTAGTGATGAAAAAAGTCAACAAACCTTTCTGTGTTATTAAAGGCACCATTTTGAACATGAAAGCACTCAAATGTGGAGAAGGAAATGTTTGAGCTCGTCTGGGAGGAGCAGTCCAGTTATTTTTTGATACTGCTTGTATCCAAAGCACCTCCTGATGCACAGGCGGCACAGCTGCATCAAGGACAGTGGCCCTGAGAAAGATCCAGGGAACAGGTTACACACATGGCTTTATAATACCAAGACTATAAACCTGAAACAGCAGCTGTGCAACCCACCTCCTGCAACCCACCTCTCACCAGGTTTTCACACTCAGCAGTGAGAAGTCAAACCTGCATCCCCCAAAGGACACCTGCCCACCCGCAATCCAGCCCATGTCTAGTCACTCTGTCATTACTCAACTGGCATCAGCAGCATCAGCCTTTCCCTTTTAAGCCATACAAATGTTTGTACTGTCTGAGAAGAGATGATTGATGATACTCTAAAAGCCTCTGCCTCCTCTCACTCCCTCAGTGAGATCCAAGTTTTCAGTCCACTGCTTTCTTGAGGCATATTTCATAACAGTGACGAACAGAAAGCAAAAGAAGCACTTTATAGTTCTTTATTTAAGCCTTCCAGGTGAACTGGTCCCATGTTGATAGATGGGAGCCTCGTTGAAGAATCTTTGTCACTTTACAAAAAAATCTAATTATAATAGCATTAGACACTTGTTTGGGTCACTTATCCTTTTCAGGAAGAGGAAGATCCTATGTGAAGTTCTACCTGCAGCACCCATCACTGTTCAACCCTCCAGAGCATTGTTTGCACAGGGGTGATGAGTGTGTAGGCTGGCAGGTCAGGTAAGAAGATGGGCACCAACGAGGGGGTTGGATGTAGGGAATGGGGAGGACATGAGAAGGGACACTGCAGAAAGGCAGAGGAAGGTGAGTGAGCTGGGAAGGGTCAGTTTAGGTGCCCTCCTCCTGCAGAGAAAAGGGAAGGAAGGGAGACCACAACAAAAATGCAGTGAGGTGTCAGCTTTGATCAGCTTTTGAGACTTCCCTCATGCAGGACACCACATTTCCAGCAGCTCTGCAAGGCTGAAAGCTGCTGTGCTATCACAAAGGCCGTGCAAAGGGCTGCACTCTTCTGCTAGGAGCCAGCTTATGATTTGTTATCCTGCTCTTGGGTACAAAACAAGGCAAGCTAGTTAAACTATTGCAGTATCACACTGCACTTGTGCTTGACTCTGATCCCACAGATAAATGCTCTGCCGGCAAACATCTCATTAAAAAAACAAAAGCTTCCATTACAAGAGAAAACAACCAAACTCAAAACATGAAGGCTTATCAAAACACAAGCAGTGACACTACACTGGAAAATATTTTGCAAACACAAGCACACAGTAGGTTTTTGGAGCACTCACAAATTCTCCCACCCACACACAGGACTGTCCCTGAGATGTAAGCAGGTATGATGGTCGAGCAGCACACTGAACTGCCAGGAAGGGAAGCACCACTGGTGGCAGCTACACCTGCCCTGGGCTAGCCCTGGAGGGTGCCTGGGTCAGCATGCTCACCAACTCATCTCTGCTGGCCAAATGCTCCCTGCAGCCTGCCTGCCCATGGGCTGCAAGGCTCCAGCAGCTGGGCTCGGGGGCAGAGGAGCCTTGCAGAGCAGGAGAGCAGCTCTTGCACCACTCCCAGACCACGACTGCTCAGCCAGCCCAAGAAGGCAGACATCAGCTGTCCACAGGCACGGGCCCACTCAGAGATGGGCACGTTGGAGAACATCAGAAAAAACACTGTTCCACAGGAAAATTCCCTTCAGGCATTTATTGTTTCTGATTTTGATTGCTGAATTTCGCTTAGAAAAGTTCCTCACTGCCCATGCTGTCAGCTGAGCCTGAGCAGTGTTTCCAGGCCAGCACCACAGGGTGTGTCTGAAATGTTTTTCTATCTCAAATAAACAGGACACATGCAGTGCCACAGGAGTCAGGAACCGAATGCAGCAGGGACTGGAGCTCAAAAAGATCATTGCTCTGCGTGCTGTAGATTAGGTTGGGAAACTAAATATCCATTGCTCATGCAAAACATGCACAGCACAGTTGTTTCCATGCTACTTTCATGTTACTTCTTCAAGCAGGGCCTGATTCATCACTTTGGTATTCCAAGTTTAATTTTCTATGGCAACAATCTCATCAGTGTGTAACTGGCATGGACCACACCATCACCAATTTGTTTAAAACAATGAAAATCCAGATTATTTAGTAATATATAAATCTTTCTGACTGAAAGAGAAAATCTAAGGAAGAACACAAGCATAAAAATAAGTAGACACTACAGATCTTACTCTATTTTCTCTAAATAATAAGTAACATTTCTCTCCATAATTAATTAAAGATTTCATAATCAATAAAATAAAATAAAATAAAATTACCTGAAAATATTTGATTTTAACATATGAAATAGACTCTTCCTAAAGTTTAAGCTTATGGTTTGATACTGCTGTTATTATTTGGCACGTAAGGTTTGTCTTTAGAGAAAGTCTAGTGTATAAATTACTATAAATATATAATTCCTTATATCATTCCCGTGCAATTTTCCTTAATATAAAAGAAAAAAAAAAAAAAAAAGTAGTCTTTCATTTTAAAGATACTTTTGCATCTATGTAAAAGATTGGCCCAAGAATAAAAGTAAAGGAAAAGGAATTAAAATCCAAGTTCTTCAATATACCTTTTTTTAGTATTATATGCACTAAATTCTTTTGGGTTGCAAATCTACATTTATGCATTTGTGCTGAGACAAACCTGACCATCTACTGTATAACTAGAGACTCCAAACCTCATTCTCACTACCTAGCCTCAATTCCCATCAGAGGCGATTTGCTGCCTGCATTTGTCAGCACGCTCCATGGAACACTCCTGGGTCTGCTGTCTGACACAAGGGAACTGACAGATTCTCACTGAATGCAAAGCTTTAGGTAATGAAAAAAGCTAACATTAATTTCTATGGCATCTTTTGCTTGTTTATTTACCCTAAACTCTACTTTGCTCAAGCTCAAGATGATTGCTTCCTGATGCAGTAGATTAAAAATCTTGGGGTTCAGGATGGGTTATTTTTCTTATTATCACTGTTAGTTTACCACTATATTCTGGCACTTGAACAGTGTCCCTATGTCAGCAAATGGAGGCAAGCTCAGTTATTCCCAATTTTCTAGTGCTAGCAGCCTGGACTAGCATAGCCTTATGCAATAGTCTGTGTCGGTTTTCCCTAAAACAAGTTCTAAGGAGCACCTTCTCTCTGCAGGAGCAGCTGGCCCACAGGGCAGCCAGGTGGGACCAGCTCCACTGGCCTCTTGTTTTCAGCATTCTTCACCCAAACGTCTGCTCCAAAGTCCATCAGCAGCTTCACCAGCTCCGGGCTGCAGTTCCTGGCAGCCGTGTGCAGAGGGGACTCCAGGCCCTTGCCGCTGTTCACACTCGCTCCTGAACAACAGGAGGGGCAAAGAGCAATGAGAAGAGCCAGGACTACACAGCAGCCCATTGTCATTCCCTGCACGAGCTGCTGTTCCTCTGAATAACACACAAGTGCTGTAGCCTGCACCCAGAGCTGGACTCCTTGCGCTGGGGCTTGGTGCTACAATTTGCACAAGCACAACTCTCACTGGCTGAGGACTGGGGCTGGGACTAAGAAAATGATCCTGGAACGGTGCACGAGGAAATCCTTCACCCACAGCCCAGCCCAAGGGTATCTTGAAGCAAGACAAAGGTGTAGCTCCACTTGTGGCCCACCTCTGCTTCCCATTCCTTAAAATAAACTCAGGATTTCAATATGCTCTCTACTAGAGACTTAAGCTGGTGGGATTTCCAAATGCCAAAGTATCTGTTAGGGGAAAAATGCAAGAATAGAAAAGTTCTAGAGGTCCTTGGTAGATGAGGGCATAAGCACCCCTGGTGAGAGTTCCCCCACTCATTACTCTGGATTAATGGCTCCTAAAATATGCTAAGAAAGGTGAGCTGCAGAATTAATTCAATACTATAATGTTTTACATTCCCATATACAGGAGGCAGCAGAAAAAAAAATAGGAGAAAAAAGAAAATAGTTGCCAACATTTAATTTAGATTAATTTGTATTTGACTTCTTCCCAAGAAGTTGACTTCTACTAAACAGTGACGTACTTAACAAGCGATATATTATTTTTTTTTTTGCTTGTTTTTTTCTAAAGTAGTTTAGTTGGTCCATCATTTTTGTGCCAGCTATGTGGCCGCTTTAGGTTATATGGCCCCCCCTTTGGCTAGAAGACCTGTACTACTATAGATAACAAGAAATGGTTTTATGTAATTACCCAAGCATTTAGACTTACAGCTTTGTGTGATGCAAAGGAGATAGTACTGAACCTTCTGCATTGGAAATGTCTCCAACTTTTTATGAGCTCATTGAAAATCAAAACATGTTTGCAGAAATACTATGTGAAAGTGGCTGAGTCAATTGTTTTGGGCAAACAGGAAGTAAAAAAAATTAAAATTAAATTTCTTTCTGTTGACTTCAAATAACTGCAGCATCACATGCACAGACACTGGAAAGTATAGCTTGTTCCAGACACAATCAGCCATGTGAAATCCAAGATCACCCATCATTTTGTTGGGAGCTATCCAGCTGAATTCCTGGGTCAAGAAAACCCTGATCACCCTGCTACCACATTTAACCAGGGCTGTTATTAGGAGTGAAATATCTCCTGGTCCCAAAGCAAGAGCTCCTCTCAATTTTTGATGCAAAGATAATCCAAAGACAGATGTTGCAGGAAACAAAAGTACATCATTCTTTATTTTTGTTTTTACCTGACTCCAGCAGCTTCCTGGCACAGTTCACTTGCTGGTTCTCACATGCTACATAAAGCGGAGTACCCAGGTGCTTGATGTTGTGATCTATATTTACCCCACGGGATGCAAGGAGTTCGACACATTGCACATGACCTTAAAAGGGATAAAGGAAGAGTCAACTCACAGAGATCAGGCTCATTTTTTTCAGCAAATTCTCTGTTGCAGCAGTGTAGTTTGGCAAAGATTCAATGTTTTGTCAAGAGGTGGTAGTGTAATACTTTCATCCACTCCAATGGATCCAGCCAGCAAACCAGGAGCTCAAAAGCCACATTCAGCAAAACAGGCTAAAGCCTCACAGGCTAAAACCCTCACATTTCATCTGACTCATTTCAGATGTCTACTGAAGATGAGATTAATCACTCCATGTTTCTCTCTACTCCTTTTGAAGACAGCCAGATGTGTCCCTCAAATGTCCACATTGTATGCAGCTGACTTGGACAATGCATTCCCTTCCAGGTGGCACGATGTGAACTCAGAGGATCTGACAGCTGAGCTGACCTGCCCCTGAGGAGCAACAGGCTGGGAAGAACTGCACCCCTCATGATGAGACCAATTAGCAAGGCATTTTACATGACCCAAACCAAGAAAATGATCTTCTTTATCTCTATCCTCCACTTCAACACGCTGCTAGCAGCATGGAAAGGAGAGCTGATGCCTGTGGGGTTACCTCTCTTAGCAGCTTCGTGGATGGGGGATGCCAGGTCACAGAGTGGGTGTAGGCTGGCTCCATGCTCCAGCAATAAATTCAAGCAAGCCACACTACCACTGACACAAGTGTTGAACAGTGGTGTGTGCCAGTCAACAGTCACTCCATCCACCTGGGAGAAAATAACACAATCTGGCAAAACTTTTGTCTTCTTGGTAATTCAGAATTGATGACAACTAACCAGTTTCTCAGCAGGAAATAGGTGTTTCGATATTTTTTATTTAATTCCATGCCAAAACTCCCCAGTGATTCCAAAGACTACAAGCTTTCAGTAAAATTATCATTTTAAAAGTATTTTTTTTAAATTGCCCCCAAGTCTCTCCTACTGCAAAAAAAGAAAAAAACCAAAAACCCCCAAAAAACCATCAGGGCTACTCTAGGGTCTCTCAGGAGTTACCAAGCTAAATGTATGACCATTTCTCAGTTATCTTAGCCGAAACACACCTACCCATAGCCTTCTCCTGAAACAGTCCATTTTTGGTTGAAAGTGTGCAACCCTTCATTATTTTTTTTTTTTTTATTTTAAACTGAAAGGTAATATCTGTAAGGTAATGGATGTATGAATGAATTTCCTTATTCACTACAATTTTGATGTTAGCTTGAAACATAGTGGCCATGAGACACGATTTCACCATTTTACTTGCATCTTGTTTCCATTTTCTTCCCATTTTTTGTCAGTTGGTTGTCACATTCCTATGATTCTACTTTAGGTTGCATATTGATACTAATAAGATTAATGCATGCATAAAATAAAACACACCCTTAATTGCTGCAGGATTATAGACACTTTGCAAGATGAACTTCCCCTTGTTCTTGTTACAGATGAGAACATTTCATCCTCATCTAAAGAACAATAATAACTTCCTTATATCTGTACTTTTTGGATTGCTTTATTAGGAAGTGCATTTCATAACTACCTTAAGCAGAGCTATGCACAGAGTGTAAATCACAGAGATACTCTGCCATGACATCATGCAGCATTACAGTGTGGTGGTACAACATACTAACACTAGAGACAGTGGTCTGTCCATCACCTACTCACGTGAGCACCATGTTTTAACAGGACACTGGCACAGGCAGCATGACCCCCTAGGCAGGCTTCATGGAGAGGAGACACCTGGTCTGCTGTAACAAGATTGACATCATTCCCCTGATAAGATAATGGAAAATATCATTACAACAAAGTACTAAAACACCCATACCAAAATCCACAATAAAAAAAACCCTTCCTTAAAAGCTTTATGTAACTAGACCTTCCTCAACTGCCTGGAGCTATTCATCTCAGAAAGTAGCAGATGAAGGGGATGAAGAGGCGGTAATGATTTGGCTGGAGTGGATACTGGCACAGCAAACCTGAGGCCATGCCTTGTACACACTGAAAACCAGCACAAAAGGCTTAGTGGACTGTCCAGTGGGACAATATATTGTGGTTGTTTGACTGGCTTGAACCCTGAAATGCTCTTGAAGTATTTTCTGTTCTTTGCCTAGAGGCAACCACTGAAGGAAAGAAAGGCATCAGAAACATTGGTTGGATTTTACAGGATCTTTTGTTTATATCAATCTTGGTGCTCCAGAAGACTAAGCTGGAAGAGTCTCCAATGCCCCTTCCCTTTCCACTATATCCTTCACAGGTTAAACCCAGGGATTTTGAAGAAACCAAGTGGTGAAGTTCAGAAGTCACTTCTACCTATCCCTGACCTTCTGGAGGGACTAGGATATGCTCAGGCACTTCAGAAACAAGTGTCTGGGTGACTGAGTTGAAGCTCAACCAGACCCATGACTGGGTCCAGAGCTGGCCTCGGCTTTGGGGCACCAAAACTCCTCACTGGCATGCACAGGAGCTGCAGAGGAGATGCCCTTGGCCATCCAGAGATCCCAGTGATCCCATTTCCTCTGCCACAGTTAACATATCACCCTGGATAGTTCAGTACATCTTCAGATGCACAAAGCTTGTACTGGGCAAGGAACTGATTGTAGGAAAGAAAAGCCCATTGCATGCAGATTTCGCTGTGGCCTGGTTAACACGATTTTCTCACCCTGAAGTTACACAGTAAAGCACAGACTGCATTCATCCACTGAACAAACCCTGCAGAGACCACATGAACCCAGCAGAGAGGTACCTGTTCAATGAGCTTCTTCAGGGAAAGCAGACGCCCATGGATAGAAGCCTCATGTAAAGGAGACCAGTCTGAAACAAAGTCTGTATAAAAACAAAGACAGGAAAAAGGCTAAAACTTCTATTTCACTAGCATACTTTACTTCAACTGTGTGACCTCCCTTCTACTTTATTTGAGCTGCCAAGATTTCTTTGGAGCAGATGGTGTGAGGGAGACAGACAAGAAGATGGTTTCCCTCTGGGTGCACTTTTAACTCATCCCATGCTTGCATTGCACAGCTGTGCTCCCCTTCAGAAGACAGGAGAGGGATTTGCAGAACATCACCTGGCTCTGGCTGAGCTTGTCCCTCACTCTGAATTATTTCCAGGGCCCTTTTTTTTTTTACACAAACTTATTACATTTTACCAATTATCTCAAAAGGAATATGTTTGAAGAGAGTTTGGCTGATCAGTCATTTACCCCGGCTCAGAGCTGGACTAGAGTCAACAACACTTGGCAGGACAAGGGACCAAAGTACAAGGCAGCAAAATGTGTTACCTGTTGATTCTGTCTTTCTGTTTTCAGTGTTTGTTATGAGTGGTGCATTTTAAGTAATAGTTGTGCTCTCTGCATTGTTGAAACTACCACATATATACTGTGCAAATATTAATAGAGAGAGATCTTCAGTATTACAGATTTTATGGCTCAGAGTCAACTGACAGCAATAATCCCTCTGGGAGATATTTATGTCCCAGCACTCAAAACCCAGTGTCTGCTCTATGTCAATGTGCCAAGTTTCCCCTGGGAAAGAAGGGAAGCCTTTACAGAGGGCACTTCACACAGCTTCCTGTCGAAAGACATTTTGCTGTTCTCTGGAGATGTCCCACTCTCCTCCACTAACTACAGAGAATACTCCAGTGACCAAGTTACTGGCTGAGTTGCTGAGGTTCTCAGGAACTATAATAAAACACATGCATGGAATGGAATCCTTAACAGCTGGAAGTCTGCCTTCAGCAAAAAACCCTAATAAGTCTATAATTCCTTAAAAGAATGTTTACACTTAAGCTGATGATCGTAACGGTTTTAAATAAAAAGAAGGTATATTTAGGCCAGACATTAAAATGGGGTGGTGGAATAATGGAACAGGTTGCCTAGAGAGGTGGTAGATGTCCCTTTTGTGGAAAGATTCAGGTCAAGCATGATGGGGCTCTGAGAAATTTGGTCTAGTGGAAGGTGTTCCTGCTCATTGCAGGGGTGCTGGACTAGACAACCTTTAAAGGTCTCTTCCAATCTAAACCTGGTTATGAGTCTATGAATTAGCTTTTAAAGAAATCTGCTTTCTTTGTTATTAGCATTATTTGAGCTCTGCCTGCCTCCTTCTATGCTCCGTGGGCTGCTTCCCACAACAGTTACACAGTTTCACTAGGTTCCCAAATATCTTTGGTTTTAGCAAACAGCCAGCCAATTCTGGAAGCTGGGGTTCTGGTTCATGACGATGGCAAACCTGGGCAACAATAAATAAAGCACAGACTGATTAACTGACTAAAACATCTTCGCTCTAAGTGATGTGTGTCAAATTGATGCTTATCTGACTGTGCTGTTGCTCTTGTTGGTCCTGCCTGTGTTTCCAGGGTATGTAAAACGCTTTTTTACATTTAGGAACTAATACCATTGCCTAAATTGCATGAGTTGTAAGGGAAGTATGTTTATAGATATTCTAAAAATCTAGATTGAAGTACCAAGTTTTTTGAGCTGCAACTTGAACTTTTTTTGGCTACACAAATATTGGCAGGCACTTGTGCCTGTACCAACCTGTGTATTATACTAACGTATTATATCATCATGTCATGATTATATAAGAGGAACATATCCATGTGTGGATTTTATCCATTCAGTCCTTGCTTACGAAAAGACAGGTTTTCACTGAAACTCTAAAAAGAGCCAGACCAGCCAACTGTAGACTGGCCATTGACTTGCAAGTTTCCAAGTTTTTACAATGATTTAAAAGATTGACCATATAAGTACTATAAATAAATGTCAGTGAAAAATAAAAGAGATATGTGCTGACACGTAACCTATCTGGGAGTTCTGTAACTGAGAGAAACCTAGAGTTTTATCCTAGGTGGAAGTGGAGCCCTATGGAGCCCTAGGGAGTCTGTCACACCAGCCTTGGACACCTTGGGAGGAGCAGGATTAAAGGCCTGACCGATGACTAATTGGGATGGCATAATTCCAGATCTGCTGCCATGAACTGCACAGCCTCAGGCTGATGTTTCTCCTGCCCTACCTCCATCTGCAGCAAGCACTTCTAATCTGAAGCAGTGCCAGGAAGGCATTGGAAGGGAGGTTCCTGGAAAGGATGGCAAATTTCTCAAGTTTCTTGACCCAAGGCATCACCTTCTCGCAAATAACCATATTTCTTTTTTCTGCCTGCTCCAGGCTGGAACTCAAGTTTCTTGCCTGGAAGAGGAGAAAAGCTGCAGTGATTTCCATGTCTCACTGCCCTCTTTTACACTTCACAGGGGGCACACTATCAGAATATAAAAGATATGTATTGTATTTGATTAAGGCCTAAGCAAATGTCAATTCTAGCTGACTATGGGCTTTCAAAATCCTGAACTAGTGATTTTCATGAACGTGCCCAGAGCCCTCTGCATATGGACTAGCAAGGCCATTGTATGTGGGGGACACAGTTGTTCATTGTATGTACCGCCACCAGAACAAGGATTCCTGATTGTCAAAAATAGTACAACTGCTCTTTCAGAAAGAAACAAGATAATTTGTCCAAATTTGAAATTTACCCACACCTTAGTCCACAGGGAGGCTGAGCCAGACCCCAGTAGTTTGGCATCTAGCTATCCAAATCCCCTGGTTTTCAGTGGCTTTGGGTCACCTAGCTCACTGCAGAAAACTCCAGCCAGCCCAGAGGTTACATTAAACCCCTGGTCCTATTTGATTGTGCTGCCATCACTCAGGCACGTGACACTGGCAGGGTGGTGTATACAGAGAGAGTCTTATAGCAATGCACACATGCAAATTCTGACTGCTCCCTGTGCACAACAGAGCTCTCACTGGACCTTTCTAGAGCACTGGTTTTTGTAGTGACAGCTGAAGCAACTTTTTGCAGCCTCTGACCATGTGAGGGCATTGCACATGGTGCCTGTGCCTGTCCCCAGGCTGGTTTCTTCCCATGCCTCTCACGCACAGCACAACTTGAAAGGGGCTCTTAAGTCCTCCTAGTGAAGGTGTGCTCTTGCATTCATATTTGCAGGCACAAACTCCTACAGCATTATAGAGAACAGTATTGCAAATTGCATTTTTCATACTCATAGGCTGTCCCTTAAAGTTTGTGATCTACATAGCTTGAGCTAAATACATTCCCACTGGAAATTGCCAACAGAGCTTATTGACTCTGCTAAGGAACAGGCAGACACAAAAGGGATGGACTAAACTTTGATTTTCAAAGGACCAAATGATCTGTACCCAGCACTGTGCCATGTGGGATTCCCTCCTTCCACCCTCCATTTTGCTGGAGCTCACCTCCAGTGTGGACTGGTTCTATTTCACACAGTTAATGATATCACTGTGCCTTCCCGCTCAGCCCAGCCTCAGGCTGTACATACGTGGCACACACGGGGACAGGCAGACTACACCGCAGACAGACTGGTCAGCCCTGTGTTTTGGCTTTATGGTCTTAATTTTCCACTTGGTGTTAATGGGAATATCCTGAACAGCCCAGAAAAAGAGCAAGGATAGCATAAAGTCATATTTTCTGAATTTACCTCATTCCATCTGCACTCGCCATTAAAGGAAGGAGTAACTTCACAGAAACAGAGCTACAGCGAACACATGCAGCTCAGGATACAAAGATAAATTTCTTGTCTTTTTTTTTTACCATGTCATATTTTCAATGGCTCTGGGCCAGCCAGATACAGAGCAATGACCAGAGTGAGGCCATTTGTCTTAGTAACTACTCACTATTATGTGCCCACAACAGCACTGGTCACAGCAATGCCACTGCAGAAGAACCCAGTAGGCTCGGCCTAAATAACACTTAGGTCTATTCATCTAAAAGACAAGGGGAAAGGATAAAAGATAAAGGAAAAAAGGAAAAAGAAGAAGAAAGATAAAACAAAAATGAAAACCAAAAATTAAAATAATTCAAAGAAAGAGAAAAGAAAGAAGGAAAGTAAGGAGGAAGAGAATGAAAAGAAAGAAAGAAAGAAAGAAAGAAAGAAAGAAAGAAAGAAAGAAAGAAAGAAAGAAAGAAAGAAAGAAAGAAAGAAAGAAAGAAAGAAAGAAAGAAAGAAAAAGAAGAAAAAGAAAAAGAAAAAGAAAAAGAAAAAGAAAAAGAAAAAGAAAAAGAAAAAGAAAAAGAAAAAGAAAAAGAAAAAGAAAAAGAAAAAGAAAAAGAAAAAGAAAAAGAAGGAATTGAGCTAGTGCTGAGCTTCCTGCTGGCACTAATTTAAGTCAAACACGCCACATTTCAACTTATTTCTCAGTGTGCTGCAGTCCAAGTGCTGCTGCATTTTTGTTACTGCTTGCACAAAATGCAGTATGAAACCAACCACTCTTTTCTATGACACGAAAGAAAAACAACCAAAATTTCAGTATCAAACAGAAATAGCCTTTTTTTTTTTTTTTTTTTTTTTCCACACAGGCATGGGGGTGTTTTGTGGGACCGGCTGAGGAGCTGTCCTGAAGCAGGACACAGGGAGCAGCACACCGCAGCCTGGCTCTGCCCCTTGCTGCCCCCGGCAGCGCTGAGGCTTTGCCGGGCGGGAGCGTCACTTACCCCTCATCAGCGGGCTCCACGGAGTCGCTGCAGATGCCTGGCCTCCGGCTCCTTGCCCTTTGCTGGCATTTTGATTTCTTCTCTCATCATCCATCTCAGCCCTATCTGCCCAACCGCTGTCTTTTCACTTTGTGGATGGTTTCCAGAGTTCAAATTCCATCGTTCCCGGCGAGCCCCCAGCGGCCGGAGCGCTCTCTGGAGCAGACCCTGCACGCCCGAGCCGAGCAGCCCTGGCGGCAGCCAGGACGTGCCGCCGGCACCTCTGCGCGCACAAACCCCAGTATCGGGGCTGGGATTTGACAAAGCTGCTCCGGGGCTGCCAGAGACCCAGCCAAGCGAGAGATGTGCCTGATGTCACATCCTCTCCAACGCGACGCCCAATCGGGGCGCCCGCCGTTCTTTTTTATCAGGAAGGAAATTCTTAGTTTGCCAAAAAAAAACCAAGACAGAAAGAGCCAGTTCGACTAGTTGAACAAACTCTGCCTGCAGGGGATGCGCAGAGAGAGCCGGCAGAGTCGGGGCAGGCAGAGAGCCGGGGCAGGGAGAGAACAGGGCAGGGAGAGCCGGGACAGGCAGAGAACAGGGCAGGGAGAGAACAGGGCAGGAAGAGAACAGGGCAGGGGGAGCCGGGACAGGCAGAGAACAGGGCAGGGAGAGAACAGGGCAGGGAGAACCGGGACAGGCAGAGAACAGGGCAGGCAGAGCCGGGGCAGGCAGAGAACAGGGCCGGCAGAGAACAGGACCGGCAGAGCCGGGGCAGGCAGAGCCGGGGCAGGCAGAGCTCTGCCCGCTGCCCAGCAGGGCTGGCGCAGCTCCCCGGGCCGAAGCGCGGAGCTGCTGCGCTGCTGCTGCCCGGGCTGGGCGCTGCCGGTCCCGCGGCCCTGCGGAGCTGCAGCGGGGCTCCTGTCCCCTTACCCTGCTCGGCTCAGGTCACCGAGTCACAGGCACACCAAATTTTGGTACCAGTTTGGTACCTTTTATTTTTAAGCAACTTCTCAGCCAAATCAAACCACCTTAGGGAAAAAAAAAAAAAAAAAAAAAAAAGGCTTCATTATTTTTTTAGGGCAATCTCTGCCTCATTTCTGTGTCTGTTTTGCAAAAGTTCTGTTCTCACAGATCATCTCTATTTGAACTGTTTTCCTTCCCAGTATAGTATAATTTACAAGCACAAAATCCTTTTTCTGTCACTGAATATTTGCCCATTTGTGTTCAAGTGGAAGTAGGCAGAATTCTACTTATGTTCAAGTAGAATTTCCATGCAAATTCTAAACCATGTAATGCTTTTCTTTTCTTTTCTTTTCTTTTCTTTTCTTTTCTTTTCTTTTCTTTTCTTTTCTTTTCTTTTCTTTTCTTTTCTTTTCTTTCCTTTTCTTTTCTTTTCTTTTCTTTTCTTTTCTTTTCTTTTCTTTTCTTTTCTTTTCTTTTCTTTTCTTTTCTTTTCTTTTCTTTTCTTTTCTTTTCTTTTCTTTTTCTGTATGGCTACTAGAGCAAAATTTGTGTTTGTGTATTTGGGGATTTGAAGTTGTTTATAGTATTTTGATTCCGATCCTAACTTAGCTGAGCCTAAGAAACTTGGTTGTAATTTTATTTCTTTCTGTAATGTATGCAAGAAATCTGGAATAATATTTTGGGTTTCTTTGTCCATATCTTTAAAAATAATAATTTATATTAAAAGATGTAAACAGCAGCTGAACATCATCCACACACTTTGCCAACAGGGAATCTATGACAGCAACCTGGGCACAGGTGAGGACAGGACCAGCCCTTTCCATGGCACTCCCTTCTGAATGCAGCATGGCCTCCCATGCTGGATACAAGCTTTGATCTCCCTGAAAATTACATTTGTGTCTTAGCCAAACTGGTGTGGGAAAAATGTGTAAACAGAGAACGTGGTGTATGTAGGTATTGTTTCTGAGGATTAACATGTAAAAGGAATGAAAAAAACAATTCTTCCTCTTTAGTGTTACTTGATTTTAGAGGTTAGGTTGCCACTTTTCATGTATGATCATATCTCTGGCAGATCTAGTATTAACAACCATTTCAAAAATTCCACCACCAAAAGGAATCAGTGTATGCAACCAAATGTGGAAGCTCAGAGCTGTGTTATCTTCTCTGATGACCAAGAAGGTAAATGCAGTAATGACCAGCGAGATCTGATGCCTCAGGAAGTTTGCAGATTTGAATGAATTTGAATGGTGCAGTTGATATTCCTTAAGGACAGGATGCCATCCAGAGGACCCTGGACAAACTTGAGGAGTGGGCCCAGGAGCACCTCCTGAGGTTTAACAAATCCAAGTGCAAGGTGCTGCACCTGAGTCAGGGTGATCCCAGACATGAGCACGGAAGACGAGGGAGAAGAAGTCACTGAGGGCAGCCCTGCAGAGAAGGACTTGGGGGTTCCTGTGGATGAACAGCTGGACACGAGCCCACAGTGTGCGCTCACAGCCCAGGAGGCCCATGGCACCCTGGGCTGCATCCAAAGCAGCCCAGCCAGCAGGTCTGGGGAGTGGATTCTCCCCCTCTACTTTGCCCTCATGAGACCCCACCAGGAGTGCTGCATCCAACTGTGGGGTCCAGCACCATAAAAACATGGATTTGTTAGAGCAGGTGCAAAGGAGGACCACAAAGATGCTCAGAGAGCTGAAGCACCTCTCCCATGAAGACAGCCTGGGAGAGCTGGACTTGGTCAGCCTGGAGAAGAGGAGGCTTTAGAGAGGCCTTACTGTAGTCTTCCTGTACCTTAGGGTGCTTATAAAAAGGAGGGAGAGAGACTTCTTACATGAGCAGATCATTCCAGACCAAATGTCAATGGATTTAGATTGAAAGAGGGCAGGTTTAGTAGATGTTAGGAAGAAATTCTTTGCTCAGAGACTTATGAGGTGATGGAAATGTTGCCCTGGGAGGCCGTGAATGCCTCATCCCTGGAAGTATTCAAGGCTAGATTAGATGGTACTCTGAGCAACCTGATCTAGAGAGTGGCAGCCCTGCTCATGGCAAGGGCTGGGGACTAGGTGAACTTTAAGGTCCCTTCCAGCCCAATCCAGTCTGTTGTGACAACTGTGCTCCTCTGAGTTACATTTCAGATGCCCTTATGATGATATGCAGCCAGATTACAGCAGAGAGTAGCTAGAAAACATGCGGATCTGAGTTTGACGGACATAAATTATCTCCTGAGCTCTTGCTTCAGCTAGCAATTCAGGCATACCTGCAGAGGCTTTGGCTTGGTGATCACCTTAGTATTATTTAACCATCTAGAGCCACTTACTTCTTAAGCATTATTTTGATGTGAATGGCATCATCAAACTAAATTAAACTCCCCAGATAACACATCCCAAAACCAGGGGATTCCAACAGATTGTTCTCAGCCTTGCTGAGAGCTGGAATATGCAAGAAGGCTTTGATTAATTTCATCTCATTTGTTGCTGATCTTTCATGGAAGCAAGCAGAAAATTCTCCAGTAAAAAGGGAACGTTTTAACATCAACCTGGATCTCAAGATAAACAACACAGAACTTCAAATATAGATTAGAAACAGCTTACGCAACACAGAGACACACCAGAACTTTTAAGCATTACAATACTATTTTCCATTTAAATAGCAAATACATCCCTAAGTTCTACATAAACAAGCCTAGTAGAGAAATTACTTTATCCTCATTCAAGTGCAGCCATCCTTGGTGCATAGAAGTGCACAGTAAAGTGGAATCGACAACACTTAATACTACTTTTTTCTATTTACATCATGTCTTATAAAGGGAATAATTTTTCTTTCAAAAAATCTACATTTTTTGTAATTCAATGGACTGTTCTAATGTCTTGGTTCTTTTTTTCTTCCACTTGTTAATAATTTTTTTTTTAACTTGTGCAGATAACTTTTATAACAATTGTATTACTATAAGCACAAATATTGCTACAAAAATGAAAATGCACTAGTGATAAATCTGTCTTGGTATGAAAATTCACCCTTGGTTTCTGAGGATGCAAACCACAGAATTACAGGAAATGTTTGGAAAATTGGACAAAAACCATAAGATTTGTTCAATTTAACTTCAGAATCAGGGTGAGAAATCCTAGTTTTTCCTTAGCACTAATGAAGAAATATAGGCACTTTCAAACCATGCTTTGTCTCACCTACTTTAGATGCTTGCTCTGGGGGAGCACATATTGGAATTTTAGAGTCAGTCTTCACCAACTGTAAAAGGGATCCCTAAACCATGAGCAGAGAATTAGATGGAATTAGATGTGTATGTGTAAACAGCTGAAACCCACTTTAAAATATGGCTGAATTGACAGCCAAGGGTCCCAGCTCTGACACCCCTGGGTGCTGTCATGTGCCTTGTCCTGCACAGCCTCTGGGTGCTGCAGCTCAGGGTGAAACATCTTCAGCCCAGACAAAAGCCAGCATTGCCCAGTGCCTGAACCACAGAGCCTCAGCTTTGGCGTGCCTGTATCTCAGATCAGGGTTTTGACAGACAATTCTGACAGATTTATCTGCATTGAGCCAAGCTATTGCTCCCCACCTGGCTCCCAACCCTCAGCAGAGGTTAGCCAGTACAAGGGATGGCAGCACTGGCCACAAAGTGATGCCACAGCTGTCTCAGTACATTGTGTCAGCTCAAAAACCTGTAAAAGCTGTCTTCTTCTACAGACTGTAAACTTGAGCTCTAAGACACTAGCACATGCCAGATCCTCCTCTAAGGCAGCAATTTCCAGTCAGCAAGCAAGGCAAACATCTGGGACAGCCATGTTTTAAATCACAGCAGTTAAATCTGCCAGAGCTTGCCCACAGGAGTACTAAAGCACTGGTGTCATTTCCAGAGGTACCTGGGTTTTCTTTGGAAAGCTGCTGCAAAATTCTTGAGCTGACACAAAGTGGAGAAGTTCTCCCTTGGAGAAATTAATCATACTGTCTGGTTCCTGTATCCCTAATTTCCTTCCTTCAAATCAAGTCTCTCCTCCAGAGGCTTTCCTTCTTTTACAGTTTTTCTAACATGAAATGTTTCCTTTTCCTTCCTCTCACCCTCACAGAAACTTCCCTTTGCAAACATCCCATCAGTCTGGCTGGGGACCAGACAGACTTCTGCAAGTAAATGTTCCCTTCTGCAGGATGGCCAATTTACTTAGCAAGAGAGAATATAAATTGAAAGAAACAAAAAAACCTTGAAGAAAGCAACAAACACATCTCAGTTGCATTCTGCCTACATCAGTAGCACCTGGATCTGTGCTCTAATTCATTGCAGATGTGGAGAAGCACCAAGATTTCCCAAGGAGCAGGACAAACATTGCATGAGAGCTTGCAAACAAGTATTGTGTCAAGAAAGGGATTAGGGGCATTTCCCCACAGAGAGAAAAGCAACATCA